TGGTCCTCGAGGACCACCATTCATGTTTTAGATTTTTCTCAGCTCCAACACGTGTTTTAAATAAATGGGTGCTTCTGCAGAACATGAAGAGGTGATTTATACACTAAAACAGGTGTGTTGGAGCAGTGAAACAAACAGGATCACAGCCTTGAAACAGGGGTTGTTCAACAGGTATATTAGCTGTTCATAACATTTCTAAATAAAATAATAAAAAAAACAATTGCAAAGATCTAAACTACTTGAACTGTGATCCTTTGAACATTTTGCACTCTTGTAGATATATYTCAGAATGACCATCGGCAACATATTTGTATGCAAAGGGATTCAGGTTGAATGTTTCTTTTTATGCACCCACAGTCTCTGAGGCAACAACAGAAGCAAGGACACAACTTGTCTTAAAGGTTAAGGTCATCTTCAGTGCGCCTCTCTTTCTACAGCAGCGACCTCTTCCCTGCATTTAGTGTACCGCACGCGACCTCAGAACACCTGGACTGGTCACGTGACGTGCGATGGTTTCGATCCAGTGTAGAGTCGGACAAGATCTAATCTGTTTTAAAGGTTTTCATGAGCAATAAAACAGCCGGTTTTCTTAAATGTAGCAAGTTTCAGATAAAATGAGGTGTTAAAAGTCAGAGCAGGTTTTAAGTGTTTGCAGGACTATAAAGACATTAGATCGACGCGGATTTCTAGGTGAGTCAGTGCGCAGCGACAAGGCTGTCAGTCTTCACATCATCATCATCATCATCATCATCATCATCATCATCATCATCATCATCATCATCATCATCATTTCTCCCATTGGCTGCGGCAGGATGCTCCGTGTCCCTCCTGTTTCCTCAACCCTCACATGCAGCTGAGCTGCCGGAGGTTCGCCATGGAGCTGCACGGGAGAGCTTCACCTGTAGATGTTTGACATTTACCTGTCTTTGTAGGATCGTGGAAAATAAAAATCCAAACCCACTTTTAAAGTTCTGCGCTTCGGATATCGCATCGCTGCACAGGAATTAAGTTTTTTTTTTTCTTTTTTGCGGGCAATTCTCGTCTCGTGCCGCGCTTCAACAGCGTGGGGGTACTCTGGCTGTTGTGTGCGCGCGCAGGGATGTCGGCATGGCTTGCACCAGGAGAACCAAAACTTTGGTGTCAACATGCGTGATCCTGAGCGGCATGACCAACATCATCTGCCTGCTGTACGTCGGATGGGTSACCAACTACATCGCCAACATTTACATCAAGGTGCCGATGCCTTTACCGGAGACTAAGTTAGAGGGGGACAAACGCGGGGACACGCTCCGGATCATGGAGCGGCTGGACCGGCTGGAGAACGTGGTGAACCAGCACATCCAAGGTAAGGCTGCCTGCGGTTCTAATCTGCTCTCCACGACTGGAAAGTTTGATTTTTTATATATAAAACTAAATATATTTACAGGATGCCGGCTTTATATGAAGCTGCAGCTGCTTGTGGTTTCATTTAGGATTTTATGCAATAAGAACTTCCTTTGTTGAGGATCAGGCTGTGCAGAGAGGGGTGTGATATGTGACAATGTGTAACCTTCACTCAGAGCTATTTTAGTAGAAAGTCAATGTAATATCTCATAATTGCACACCTTTGTCTTTATTTTCTTTGGATGCTGATTCTGCAAGAAAACAAGTCTAAATGCTTGTGAGTTAAACGCATTTCCTTTTATCGTGATGCATCTCTTTTAACAGAAAATATCCACTAACTCATGCAGTGCCTTCACTTAGAAACTGCCTCAGATCAGGTTACTGCGTTGGGTTACAGAAGCGGCAGAAACTTGCAAAGAAAGTGTTCCTGTCTTCTCAGTTTTCCTAATCAGCTGCATAAGATTTATTATGACTGAAACAGTTTTTTAAAAAAACTAATTATTTCCTCTTTCCACACCTCTTCCTTATGTGCTCGCCCTTTCAGGAATGTCAGGAATCCTCTTTGCTTCAGTTCCCCCCCTCTCTCTCTCTGGTGCAGTTCCTTTCCGCTTCATCTCACACTGTTAATTTCTCTCCATCTCTGTGTCTTTAAAAGAGCTATTCTTGTCATCACGGGTGAGTGGTGGCTCATTTTGTGCAGGTTCTCATCTGAAATGGCACAGAGCTGGTGGGGAGAGAGAAAGAGAGAAAGAGAAAGAGAGAGAAAGAGAGAGAGACTCCACTCATGCTTCTTTGAGCAATGAGGCTCTGTGCAAGGCTTGGGTAAACAGTCCTCCTGGAGGCAGGTCTCCATTTCAGCTGGGCACCAATAGGCATGAGCCGGGTGGAGCTTGGTGGAGGTGCCCCCAGTGACTTACCTCTAAAATACAGGTTTCAGCTTCTTCTATTTCTCTGACAGAAAAGACCATTTCATGCTAGATTAGTGCCAAAAAAATCTGCATGGACTCTTTCATTGCCTTCAACAAAACTTTTTTCCCTCTTTTTTTATTATTTGCAAAATGCTTAATAATCCTATTAAACACAACACACAAAAATGATGGAAAAACAGGACGAGGAAAGGACAGAAAAGCTGCGACTATTTACTAAGGTATACCAGGCGTGAAGTAACAGAAATTATATATCAGATATATGAATCGAGATTCAGTCCATTCAAGTTCATAAAGAACTCTGGAGGATTTTATTTTTTATCATTATTATTTTTCAATACAGTCGAGATAGAAAGTGTTCCCAGGTGTGATAAAACATTTATGTGGTTTGTCCTTGAGCCAGAAGTTATAAAAATAACTTTTGGAAAAAGATCATTCTGAGGAGTTTACAACGTGTGCTGGATATGTAAATGCAAATAAAAGTGGTAGGCTAAAGAAGGGTTTTGTATTTGAGCAACCTTTTGTAACTACACAATATTAATTTATTTTCTGCTTTGACAATTTTAAGGTTCACTTCATATCTGTACCAGCTGTTGCCATGCCAGCAGTTTATCTCAGCTCAACAGAAAAACAAAAAATAACAGAAATTTAGGGAAACAACATGCCTCTCTGTCCGGACCTTTCTCTCAGACAAACTAATCATTGCATGGCATCTAGGAAGCTGCTTCACCTGAGCCAAGAAATCGTCCTTCATATAACCTATAAACTTTTCWATGGAATAGGCAAACAGCAGAAGTGTCACTTTAATTTGCTTTTTTAGAAGTGCCACTTGGTGTTTTTTTTTTTTATCATCAGATCAGATCAAGGATTGTTGTGTCCCCAGATCCCCTGGACAGTTCCAATTTTTATCCTGTAAAGAACAGCAGTTTTCTAGGGTCATCACAAAAAACACGAGTGCTCTTCAAAACTAGGACAGTTATTGTGAAATTGGCTTTAAAAAAAAGAAACATCATGCAAACATTTTTTTTGTGTTCTTTACAAGTTCCTGCACAGTCTCATCTTTTCGCCTGTGAACTTGTTTCCAGACTCCAGAGGAAACACATTTAACGTCCAAATGGAAAAGAAAGCAACATAAGAGCAGTATACATTTACAACAATGAAAGCCGCTACAACAAAATAACCAGCTACATTAAGTGCAAGCTATGTTGCTTGGACTTACCACATGATTGCTTTGAATGCATTTGCTGCAGATGGAGACTCATGATATTGGTCTGTAAGTGGCCGACAGCATCTTCAATTAACTTAAGTGAYTAGCCAGACATTTCTTCTTTCTATTCCAGTGTTAGGATGTTAAACAAGTGTAGAAATAGTAAATTCTGACTCATTCAGTTTCAGATTTAGACTTTTTTTTAATGATTTGCCGTGTCCTTGTGGACTTTTCACATCACACGTGCTTTTGTTTCCGAGCACTGGAGACCGCACTACCCTGAGCTCTGCTGCATGCAAGYATGAAGCAAGCTGACTCACCGCAGAGAGAAGAGATGTGCTTCTCTGCTGGTATCAGCTTCTCATTCTGGGTGAGACAGAAATATTCCAGTATGTGTTGATGTGGGCCGGCACCAAGACAAAGCAGCACATGTAAACTGGCTGAACTTTTTTCTTGGATTTATAGACAATTTACTGGAGTTGGACTGAGCAGGTTCCCACGAGCCCGACATAAGGGTCAGGCTTTTTTTTGTACTTAGTTTGTAATTATATAAATCAAACATTAGGGGATTTTTTTAATTTTATTTATTTATTTATTTATTTATTTATTTTGCTATTGCAGGTCATTGTTTTTGCAACAGCTTTTAAAAGTTTTAACCATGGCTATATTCTAGGAGTCGGACAGCCGGGCGGTGTAGAAGGAAGCTATAGTCGTTTGGGGGAGGAGTTCCTCTGTGGGGAAAATGGSAAACATTGTGAAAAATTGCTGTAAAGGACTGCACGTCTCACATAAAAAAATCCAGAGAGAAAACTTAATTTTTTTCTGGCTGCAGGAGCAAAAAGGGAGAAATGTTAAGAGACCAGACATGCATGTCGTGTCATTGTTTTGATTCAAAACACACTAAAACTGACAAAGCTAAAGACCCAAATCCAYTCATGCTAAATATTACAGATCTAATTCCTGCTCTTGTTGTTGCTCCACTGCTGCCAAACTCCATTCAACTTTTACGTCTTTTTTTCTTCAGATTTTTTACTGCTTCACAGATAACTTTTGGTATCTGTCCTGACATGCTRGTTTAATTCACAGTTTTACATTTGAACCTTCCTCTGGTCGGCTGCTCCGGTTCAGCTTGCATTTAATGAAGCGAAATGCTGGAAATATCGATCCAGTATCTTTAGTATCGACATGGCGAGAGAGACAAACATTACTATCAAATACTGTATTTCTGTGGATTCTCAGTCATCCAGGACTTGGAAAATTTAAAAAAACAAAAGACAAAGGAACTGGACTTCTGTTCAGGAGCTGAAGARGTGTTGAGCTACAAGATTTAAACTGCTTGACTTAAGGCRAGTGTCATTATTTTTATATGGATCGATCTGCTCACCTCCACCTCCCAGATGAAATGCAACACGAGCGTTTAGAKTGGCCGCTTTGAAAAACATTAGATATGTATCTACTACCACATACCGGTACTATTTTGTCAGGTTCAGACTGTTAGGAAAAAAATCTGATCTGGGTCGCATTTGAATGTAGCCRACACTGCAAAGGATTTCACTGTAAAAAAAGCAGTAAATTACTGGCAGCAGGGTTGCCAGTATGGCAGCAGGGTTGCCATACTTGCAGCAGGGTTGCCAGTAATTTGCAGTTTTTTTACAGTGCAGTTACTGTAATTTATTTTAACAGTTTATTACGATAAATTGGATTACGGCAAAGTAACTGTAAAATAACAGTAAATTACTGTTAAGACACCCAAATTATGACAAAACTAGTATTTTACTCTAATCATACAGTTATCTCAATTTACAAAATAAAATCTGCAAATTCCCATGATTCCAAAATAAAATAAACAAGAAAACCAATTCATTAAAATGTTTTTTTAATTCACAGAACAAAAAGGACAAATTTTTTAATGTCAAATTTTGTGAAATTATGATTCCAACCTCAGTTGTTGAATAAAAAAWTGTCATTAACAGTGTAAATTTCAGGCAAAATGGCAGCAACAACAGTGTGATTCTAAAGAAAAACAACAGCAATAACACAGATTCAACAACAGTACAACAGAAATGCATCAGTCTAGCTCGGACACAAGTGTTTTGCACAAACAGGTGTCGATGACAAGAAAAGGAAAATGAAGAAAGAGAGGCTAACACTTAAAAATGGCTGGACTGCAGCATTTGATTATTGTCCACATGAAAGATTAGGGCCCATAAAACAAAGAACAAAAGAGCAGCACAGTGTCACTGGCGAAGTATAAAAATATAAAGTAGTCTAATCAATAACTGAGCTATTTAACCTGTAGGTAGTTGAATTATACTTTCAGTACTGCAACTGTAACACCCCTCGCTAAATCAGCTACAATTCATTCACAAAACAATTCAAAAGAGAAGCATAATCTTACCTTTTGAACTTGTAGACTAAAGCAGAAGTGCATTCTCCAAAGACAAGCWCACAAATAAATCTTATCAAAAATWAATCCTAAGTTGACTGATTAACAGAACCAGCAGCCGACAGCATTTGAAAAGGTTCTAACAGATAATGGTGGGACTTGTAAGGGACTTTTCTTTTTTTTTCTGCATGTATATTATGCTATTAAATATACTTTTATTTACCAATACTGCCTAACCTACTAATTTAATTATAAATTAACAGTATGTGTAGTTATTTCACAGTACTTTTAATGTTATCATGAAATACTGTAAGATACTGTAAAAAATCCACCGTAAATTTACAGAAATCTGTTACAGTGWATAGGCTATTAGTTAGTGTGGTGGGTGACTTTATTTCCATGTTTTCAATGATCAGGTCAAATGTGATATTTAACTTATGTTT